GGCCCTTGCCCCCAGTTCCTAGAAGGTAACCACTGTACCCTTGGAAGTTCCTCAGTTTTGGGGTGTCTTGTTATTCATGAGGACTCCATACCATACCTGAGAGTTTATACTAATGAGATGACTCATGTGGGGGTTGGCCTCTACAGAAGGACCCACAAAAACCCACCATGTGATGCCACCTCCATGGCGGGGACAGGAGCTGGAGAGTGAGTTCAACCACATGGGTGATCATTCAATCATTCATGCCCATGTGATGAAACCCTAGTAAAAACTCTGGGCACTGAGACTAGGGTGAGCTTCCCTGAAAGACAACACATCCATGTCCCAGGAGGGTGACATAGAAGCTTCATGTTTGAGGTCCTCCCAGACTTCTCCCTTTGTGCTATAAAAACTGTGAGATAGCACTTTACTAATTCGGTGAGTTATTATAGTGAATTATCGACCCTGAAGGGTAGTGAGAATTTGTAGCCAGTTATTCAAAAGTGCAGGGGTTCTGTGGACCCCTGAGCTTGTGGCTAATTTCCTAAGAGGGCAGTGAAAACCCTGAATTTGTAGCCCTCTGGTCAGAAGTACAGGTGACCCAGGGAGTCTCCTGAACTGGCAGCTGGTATCTGGAGTGAGGGCAATCTGTGGAGGACTGTTTGTACCCTCTGAAGGTTGCCCTAGCTCTGGGCAGGTAGCGTCAGAAATGAGCACCTGGGCTACCCTCTGGGCCCCTGTGGAATGCACTCAGCAGAGTCTGTACTACTTCTCTAGATCAGGTGTGGGACATTTGGCAAGGTGTTCCTCCCATTGTACATATTGCTTAATAGGGCAAGCACACAAGCATCTCCTTGATGCTGCATGGAGGGGACCCCTGAAAATCTCCAGGGCACTGTCAGAGCAAAATGGCAGTGTCTGGTTGAAATTAAAAGTAAAGATCTTTTGTTGAGAGGGCAAGGTAATTCGCAAATTGGAAATCACAAAATCCAGAGGGTTGTCAACTAAGTGCTCCAAAGAGGAGATGGTTCAGAGTTTATATAAGAAAATTCAGTAAAAAATTCTGTGATTGGTTGACAGTAATGGTTGCAGAATTGAGTGATGGTGCATTTGATTGATAGGAGATCAGTTGCATTTCTAAAGTTTTTTAAAAAGTTATAAAATAATCATTAAGTTGGGTACATCTGCCCTCAAAACAATCATGAGACCCTCATGTGACTGTAGGGAGGACACACATAATTCTAACATTTGTTTGGAGTGAGCATTTATTCTGAGAATTGTTTTGGACCTGACTTCCTAGGCAGCAGGCAAAACCTATAACCAAACTAAATTGTTTTCTGAAATTCTTTACCCAGTAATTTTCTCAGGATACAGTGGAGAGTTACAGGACTGACAGGCTGTATTCCTGATGCAGAAGTTGCTTTTTGATTCAAAATGGAATTTTAGCCTCAGACCTAACCATAGGCAACATCTGATGTCAGGAGGCCTAAGTTAATTTGGAGTGCTCTTACTCTGGACCAAGAGTAATAAAGGAAGTGATGGCATTGTGTGAATTAGTACTAATGTGAAAGGTGTAGGTGCCAATCACCTCATTTTATTTAGTAAATACAGAAATAGAATAAGAACTGCAGTTTAGCTCCAGCCATGTGCCTCAAGCTCCTTTTTATCCCTCTGTCATCATTGATCCTTTTCTGAGGGTTTACATAGTGAATCTTCTGTGTCTGTCTTCTCTCCTACTAGACTGAGGAAAGCAGATGCGCCAGGAAACAAATGTTTTCCAAAAGGGACCTAACCTTAGCAGAGTGGATTTATTTGATGTCATCTTGATCCTAAAGTCATTTCAACAGTACAGACTCACTCCTCGAAGGAGTAGGGCAATGCAAGTTGGCAGGGCCAGTACTACACTGTCACTGCTCAGTGGCTTATTCCTCCTTACTGTTTCTGTAGATAATTAGCTGATAGTTATGTCAAGTCTTACTACCACCCAACTCTGTCTTTAGACTTACTATACCTGTATTAAGGAGCTCTGGTGGTGTGGTGCCTAAGGCATTTGACTACTAACCGAAAGGTTGGTGGTTCAAACCAACCAGCCACTTCATGGGAGGAAGACTGGGCAATCTATGTCCATAAAAATTTACCACTTCAGAAACTCAAAGGGGGTCGGAATCAACTGGATAGCAGTGAGTTTGGTTTTGGATTTGGTTATACCTGTATTGAACACACTTGTTTCTATGTTATTCCTTATTTGAATTTTGTGAATGAGATGAAACCAGAAGAGGAGTGTTCTGGTTACCTAGTGCCACTCTGACAGGAATATACCACAAATGGGATGGCCTTAACAAATAGGAGTGCACTGTATTTTCTTACAGTTTGGAGGCTTTAAGTACAAGTTCAAAATGCCAGGCTCTAGGGGCTGGGTGAAAGCCCCTCAGCCTTGGGCTTCAGCTCCGCCTCCAGCTCCAGGTCCACTGAAGCTAGAGGCTTTTCTTCACTCAGACAGCTGCTGGCTGCTGAGCGTGCCAAGTCCAAGGTTGACAGGTAACAAGACACAGTCCCAATGTTACCAAATCACATAGGAGGTCATTAATTCAAGTCCATTGTTAAGTCCCAAGGTCGGCAGAGCATGGCAGGCTGCTGAACAACAACACAGCTACATGTAGGATCCAAGCGTGCCATAAATTAGAGACCATTCCTAAAGCAACTGCTTATATACGGGAAGCAGACCACATACCCAAAGCAACTACTCAGCTGCTTGTGGTAGATCACACCATGGAGTTGATTGCCATTCTCATCATGGGGAGTAACTACCAAAATTCCACCCCTTGTCAACTTGGTACCTGTACAGATCTTCAATGGGTGTTATCTGTACAGGTCTCCTCCACTGGGTGGCTCTAATCCCCTAGTTCCAGAGTGGTGACCTCACCCCCTTGGCCTGGTGGGCCCCATTCCTCTCCCTCTTGGGCATGGCAGCCCCACCCCCTCACTCTTGGGCAGCGGCTATGGCTCCATCCCACTGGCTCACATGAATGAGCAGCCCCACACTCCAGAACCAAGTTGGTGAAGGTCTGGCTCTTTGAAACCTGGGGGGCTGTGGTGGTTCCACCCCCAAAGGCCATGGTCCTACCCTTAAGGCAGAGGTAGTTCTGCTTCCGTTTCCTTGGTCTCTCCGCTTCTGCCGATTAATGCCCGAGGGGAATCCACTCCACTAGAAATCTTTCTGCCCAAAGGACACTTTCTTGCTCCGTAGGCCAGCCAACCTGCTATTCCGTTTTATGCCTGTCTTCTCTACCAGTTAATGCTTGAAGGTGACCCACTCTGCCAGGAAGCTGTCTACCCAATGGTGTCCAGCTTTCTTCTCCTTGGGCTGGTAAGGCTGTCGCTGTCTCATGCTGGTTCTCTCGGCTCTGCTTCTGTTGTCTCTCATGCCATAGCAGCACCCCACTCTCTCGGTACCAAATTCTGTTCTGGTTACCTAGTGCTGCTCTGACAGGAGTATACCACAAATGGGATGGCCTTAACAAACAGGAGTTTATTTTCTTACAGTTCAGAGGCTTTAAGTCCAAATTCAAAGTTCCAGGCTCTAGGGATGGGTGAAAGACCCTCAACCTTGGAGTCCAGCTCTGCTTCCTGCTCCCAGCCTCCTGGAGCTAGAGGTCTTTCTTTACTCAGACAGCTGCTGGCTGCTTAGGCTGAGAAGCCCAACATTGACAAGTAAAAAGGCACAGTCCCGATGTTACCAAGCCACTCGGCAGGCCATTAATTTAAGTCCATTGTAAGTCCCAAGGTCGGCAGAGCTTGACAGACTGCTGAACAACAACTTGGTTACATGCAGGGTCCAAGTGTGCCATAAACTAGAGACCATTCCCAAAGCTGCTGCTTATATACAGGAAGCAGACCACATACCCAAAGCAAGGAGACAGGACTTCAGTATTTCCAAAGTGTTGTTTCAATAATTGTTTTGACTGAGGACAGAAGTGAGGATAGGGAGTATGTAAAACAAAAAGAAGACAATGGTTGATTTAAATTCATCAACAACCAACTAGAAATAGAGGAGTACCTCCTTTGGTATCCTATCAGGCATGTCACAATATCCTCTGTGCCCTTCATACAGTCATCTGTCCTGGCACACTATGGGGCTGTTGGAGCTTGATGCTGGCATGCGTGCACTCTCTGATGCATATCCCTAGACAGTCATTCCAGAGCTTCCAGAAAAGCAGGTGAGGAGAGGTCAGTCAGAATGCCTGGTGTGGCGTATATTACTCAGTCAGAAGAGACTCCCTGGGCCCTCTCCAGTGCAAAATGTGGCCCAGTTATATGCTAGATCATGGGAAGTCCTGGGTTGAGGAGGGTCAGTGGCAATGGGAGGGATCTTAAGGTGAGAGCTTAGGGATGGAGTGAACACAGAAGTAACAGTTCAAGAGCCAGTATGGCCATACCAAATATTAGCATTCTAATTAGAGCCCTCCTGAAAATGGCCAAAAAACACAAGCCCTATACTTAAAGGACTCCATTGGGGTAAAGGCCTTCATGCTGAATTGTTGGCACCAACTTTGCCCTTGGGATCATCACCAAGACGGCTGGAGCCTGGGTAGCTCCTTTAGACCTGCTTAGGGTCAGAGCAATGGTTCTAGGGTCTATGCTTATGAGACCCACCCTTGCCTTCATTGTGTGGGGTCCCCCAGGACAGCCTGTACACAGTACTGCTGGCCACCAGCTCAGAGACATATCCTATGGGCCTATGTGGCTGTGGTTTCAACAGGCATCTTGGTACTTTTATAGGTAAACACAGGGCTCAGTGCTGCAGGACATTCAAGCATGAAGACACAGTCCAGGTTTGGTTTGCCGTGCAGCAAAGAAGATACAACTCATGTCACTTTTTAGGTTGGAAAATTGAGGCACAGAGTCAAACTCAGTCAAGTTACCTGAGAAGGGTTCTGGAGCTGACCTGTATAGGGCAGTTTCATCATATGAAATTTGTAATGCTAAATCATTTTACTTTGGGGTGGGGTGTTTTCTTCCAGCACCTCAGTGACCTCTGCAAAAGTGGATGTGAATGGTGTTCGGCTGCATTATCAGCGGACTGGAGAGGGAGACCATGCAGTCTTGCTGCTTCCCGGAATGTTAGGTCAGGACGCTTTCTAATGGATGAGTTTATGATGCTAGATGTCAGATATTGGTGATTTATTCTTGTGCCTTGCTGAAATGCTTTAAATAATATTTGCTACAATCAAGTAATACAGCAAAATAGATAATTTTCTACCTTTTTTTTTTCTTTTAAGTACCTAGTTTTTCCCAGGTAATGCAGTGAAGCTACAATTGCCTACAGTTTGGGGAGTGACAAGGGCCAGGGTGAGGGGTATGGGAAGATGGGGTGGATAAAGGAAGAAGGTGGGTGGGACAGGGTTTCTAGGATGTGGGACTTTGCTAAAACCAGAATAAATAGATCACTTACTTGTGGTTGATTATATGTTTAATTAAAATCAGAGTTAAGAATAAAAGTTAGCTTAAATCTTGTTTATAAATCAAAATTAGATTAGCATATTATTCTCTCTTGGTGTGTTGTTGTTGTTAGGTGCTGTTGAGTCAGCTCTGATGCCTGGTGACCCTATGTACAACAGAAAGAAATACTGCCCAGTCCTGTACCATCCTCACAATCCCTGCTATACCTGAGCCTGTCGTTGCAGCCTCTGTGTCAGTCCATCTCATTGAGGGCCTCCCTCTTTTTCATTGACCCTCCACTTTACCAAGCATGATATCCTTCTCCAAGGAATGGTCACTTCTTAAAACATGACCAAAGTAGGTGAGATGAAGTCAGGCCATTCTTGCTTCCAAGGAGCATTCCAGCTGCACTTTTTCCAGGACAGATTTGTTAGTTCTTTTGGCAGTCCATGGATCATTCAGTATTCTTCGCCAACACAACTCAAAAGCATCAACTCTTCTTCGGTCCTTCCTTATTCATTGTCCAGCTCTCACATGCATATGAGGCAATTGAAAATACTGTGGCTTCAGTTAGGCACATACATTAGTCCTCAAAGAGACATCTTTGCTCGTCAGCACTTTAAAGAGGTCTTTTCCAGCAGATTTGCCCAGTGCAATACATTGTCTGATGCCTTGACTGCTGCTTCCATTGGTGTTGATTGTGGAACCAAGTAATATGAAATCTTTGACAACTTTAATCTTTTCTGTGTTTATTATGATGCTGATTATTGGTCCAGTTGTGAGGATATTTGTTTTCTTTATGTTGAGATGTAATCCATACTGTGGACTGTAGTCTTCAATCTTTACCAATAAGTGCTTCAAGTCATCCTTACTTTCAGCAAGCAAAGTTGTGTCATCTGCATATCGCAGGTTGTTAATGAGTCTTCCTCTAAACCTGATGCCATGTACTTCTTCATATAATCCATCTTCTCGGATTATTTGCTCAGCATACAAATTGAATAAGTATGGTGAAAGGATACAACCCTAACACACTCCCTCTTCTTGATTTTAAATCATGCAGTATAGCCTTGTTCTGCTGGAACGACACCCTCCTGGTGTATGCACAGGTTCCTCGTGAGCACAAATAAGTGTTCTGGAATTCCCATTCTTCTCAGTGTTACCTATAATTTATTATGATCCACACAATCAACTGCTTTTTCATGGTCAATAAAACGTAAGTAAACATCTTTCTGGTATTCTTTGCTTTCAGTCAAGATCCATCAGATATCAGCATTGATATCCCTCATTCCATGTCCTCTTCTGAATCCAGCTTGCATTTCTGGAAGTTCTCTGTCAATATACTGCTGCAACTGTTTTTTATTTCTTTTCAGCAAGATTTTACTTGCATATGATATTGTTCAATAATTTCCACGTTCTGTGGCATCATCTTTCTTTGGAATGGGTACAAATATGGATCTTTTCCAGTCAGTTGGCCAGGTAACTGTCTTCCAAATTTCTTGGCATATACAAGTAAGTGCCTCCAGCACAGCATCCATTTGTTGAAACATTTCAATGGGCATTCTGTCAATTCCTGGAGCCTTGTTCTTCAACAATCCTGCAGTGCAGCTTCGACTTCTTCTTTCAGTACCATTGCTTCTTGATCATATACCACCTCCTGAAATGGATGAACAGCAACCAGTTCTTTTTGGTACAGTGACTCTGTATTCCTTCCATCTTCTTTTGATATTTCCTACATCATTGAATATTTTGCCCATAGAATCTTTCAATATTGCAACTCGAAGCTTGAATTTTTTCCTCAGTTTTTCAGCTTGAGAAATGTTCTTCCCTTTTGGTTTTCTAACTCCAGGTCTTTGCATATTTTATTATAATAATTGACTTTGTCTTCTCAAGCTGCTCTTTGAAATCTTCTGTTTAGCTCTTTTATCTTGTCATTTCTTCCATTTCCTTTAGCTACTCTCCATTCAAGGGCAAGTTTCAGAATCTTCTTCTGAGAACCATTTTGGTCTTTTCTTCCTTTTCTGTCTTTTTAATGACCTTTTGCTTTCTTCATGGGTGAAATGTAGGGCTTAGTAAAGCCAGCTGGATCATAGTCTCTTCTTACAGACAGTACTTTAAATATAGCAAGATCAGGGTAAAGCTTTCCAGTGATCTCAGGACATCCCAACTTTGGTTTTAAAGGTTTTAGTATGGTTGTTGTATGTTCAATTTAATTAAGTAATCTCGGTATGTACTTTTTTCCTTATGATTTGCTTCAGTCTCCTAAAGTGCTAAAAATTTCCAATGAATTGATGGTTTCACTTGATTGAGTCTCCTCTGATTGGGGTTTTCATTGGGGTTTTAGTTTACTCTTGCATCTTCCTAGCTCAATAGAGGCATCTTTTCCTAGATATTGTTCAGTAACTTTTTTTTTAAGCTGTTACATAATATAATGAAGGGGAGCATTTATTGTAATGGCTGAAGTAGTACTAAAGTTATCTGCTCCCCCCAAAAAAGAATAATTTACCAGCTTAGATTCCCATTGTTTCAGTATTCTAATCATTGTTGTTGTTATGTGCCATCGAGTTGGACCCGACTCAGCAACCCCTCCTTGGGTTTCCAAGGCACTATCACTATGGAAGTAGATTGCCCCATCTTTCTTCTGAGGAGTGGCTGGTGGGATTCTAATCATTAGCCAAGTGTAATTAATAGATAAATAATACAAAAAAAAAAAAAAAAAAAAAAAACCCGCTGCCATTTAGTCAATTCCCACTCACTGTGAGTCTCATTAGGCTCCAAGGCTGTAAATCTTTGTGGAAGCAGACTGCCTTGTCTTTTCCCCCGGAGCGGCTGGTAGGTTTGAACTTCGAACCTTTTGGTTAGCAGCCCAATGCCTTAAACACAGCGCACCAGAGCTCCTTAAATAAATAATAAGTTTTTAATTTAATTTTTGTTTATGTAAAATATTAATATGATTCAAAATTCAAACAGTGTAACAGTAAGCTTCTCTCTCTTGGACCCTGCCTCCAGCACCCAGGTCCCCTCCTGCAGACAGCCAGTGCTGGTGCTTGTGTTTCCTTTTCAGGTGACTAGCTACGTATAATCCCTTAGCATGTCTTTAGTTTTTAGCATTCTGGCACAGGTATTCCTGGTCTTCAGATGTATACATATGTTCCAAAAAGCAAGTGCCTCCCCTTACAGTTTCTGAAATTGGGCTTGAGTTGAACTGTTCCTTTTTCTACCTCTCACCACTGCCTCTCCTCCAGGGTGTTCCAGATCCCTGGGGCAGGCAGGATAAGAGCTGCTGTGACAGTCCCTCTGGCTCAGGGACCACAGGAGAAGCCACAACATAGGTCAGAGCAGTACACACATGGACTTGAAATCCACTTACTTGATTTTGGCTTTGGTTTTCTGAATAAGTTACCTGATCTTTGGAAAGGTGTATCTTGCCAGGAGGAATGATGAACTTTGGAGATGTTAAATGATCTTCTATCAGACATTTTCTGATGTAGCTAGTTTATCAGGCAAGGTGTGGCCCAAGTTATGAATTCTCTGAAATTGAATGCATTTTAAGAATACAGTGTTTACTTGCCCCTAGATCTGGGTCCTCTAAGATCTGGTTGTCCCAACAGAGCACAGTGGATATGAGAACACCACAGCCCTAGAGCCTTGGGCTGCACACAGTGACTACAACTGTGGGTGACTGGGAAAGCCCAGCAGAGGCTCAAGAATATAGTGCCACCTGGTTGGGCAATCTACTTCTGTAGTGATACTGCCTCAGAAACCCAAGGAGAGGTCACTATGAGTCAGATCCAACTCAACGGCAGTGAGTTTGGTTTTAGTTTGGTTCGGTATATGCTATTATTGTACTGTTTTCATGAAACAAACCAGTCCGACATCTTGCCTCCCCCATGTTAGTGTTTTAGTTTAGTTTTCTGGTTGCTAATTGTAGCCAGGAAATAAAACTTCAGGACTGTTCACATTGGCCTAATAAAACACATTTGGAATTTTAGAATTCTTCTTTGTATGACTAGATCAAATCTCCTAAATTTGTCTGCATATATTACTGAACTATCTCTCAGTTGTAACAGTCATTTAAAAAGAAAGAGAGAAGGAAAAATAACCTAGGAATGTGTCATATCTGTAAGTCTATTCCTATACAATTTTGTTCATTCTTAAAAACAAACCAAACACAAGATTAAGATGAAGAGGTATTGGATCAGGCCTCTGTCCTCAAAATGGTCACTAGGTGGAGACGGGAGGCCAGGGAAGGAAGAAGCCTGACTCCCAGATGGGTTTAAGCTTGGCAAAGCTGCTTTCCTAGTGACGTTTTGAGGACTGACTTAGACTAGAAACTAGTTAGTTTGAAGAATGTTATTGTTTCTGTTTTCATTGTATTATGTTTGAAGTAATTAAAGCATTCATGGGTTGTTTTTAGGAAGTGGAGAGACTGATTTTGGACCGCAGCTTAAGTACCTGAATAAGAAGCGCTTCACAGTAGTCTGCTGGGATCCTCGAGGGTATGGACATTCTAGACCCCCAAATCGAGATTTTCCACTGGATTTTTTTGAAAGGGATGCAAAAGATGCTATTGATTTGATGAAGGTAAGTCTTAGGAAAAGGGTTGGGGGTGGGAGGCTGGCTGGCCTGTCTTCATGTATTTTGTTTAGTTTTCACTGTTCTCATTTTCTGCAAAGATAATACCATGTGCTTCCTGTAGAAAATCCAAAGAGTTCAAATAGATATAAAGAAGAAAGCAGAAATTTCCATTACTCCTGTAGTCTATAGTGACACCACTACCAAGACTTTGAGGCTGTGCCTTCCAGGCTAGTCTCATACATTTATAAATACAGAGTTTTGTATAGATGGCATCATACTATGCATAATGTTTTCCATCTTGCTATTTTCATTATCCATGAAGAAAGCAAGAGATCACTGAAAAGACAAGAAAAGAAGAGAAGACCAAAGTGGATGACAGAAGAGACTCTGAACCTTGCCCTTGAGCGGAGAATCACTAAAGCAAATGGAAGAA